GTGTGTGTGTGTGTGTGTGTGTGTGTGTGTGTGTGTGTGTGTGTGTGGTTATGAATGTGTATCATTGTTCAGAGTTTCCTTCAGGTCCAGCAACTCGCTTCAACACCCCTGCTGCTCACACACAAAGGCACCTAATTGACACCACAGATTTAGGCCACTAGGTTTAACTGTTCCCCTTCCAACCCTTCAGCCACTGCTGGAATAATCAGAGTAATCCAAGAGAGCACAGCTCCCACAGCTTCTCATTCCACATCTTAGATGATACGAGAAGCAACAATGGCCGGCAATATTTCTGTATTATTGTTATTGTCTACAAAACCAACATAGATCATCTCTTAATGCTCTGACTTCTGTGGCTCTCAACCCAAAGCCCATTGGTTCACACTGAACAGGGATCGTCAAATATATAGTTTCACTTTTTTTTAAAAGGCAAACAAAATTGCTAAAACAGCTGGGTGCTGCAGTTTCATTTCAACAGGAATAAATGCTGTATTTTTTAGGGACTACTTTCAGTAGCCAACTCATACATATTTAGAGTATTTGCAGCTCTTCGACAGTATGAGGGATTGACTTGAAATAAACCCATAATGCCCATGTTCATTGTAATGATGGGAAATGTCCCCCAGTCCAATGACAATGTGTTTAAACAAAATAATTGACAACAATGAAGCCGAAGGCACAGAGGAATATCTGTGCCTTCGGATAGAGGATTGGATTGGATAGACAGGAAATTCTTGATGGTAGATGTCAATCCATCGTTGGTTTTGGTCTTTTCGTGGATTTGATGACTGTTACTTGAGGACGGTTAGTAGAGTGCAGGCTTTGATATTCCAGAAAAGCAAATTTAGTGGGGTGGGATTGGGGGGACAGCCCAATCAGTTTGCTGTCTTCCGAGACCTTTTATATCCTGTCAATCAGGGAGGATCTCTAAATTAGTGCCACTTTAACTCAGGTGGCATCAATCTCCCATCGTTTGGAGACAATTGATCATCAAACACACTTTGACAAGAGGTATGAATCAAATGTTCCTCTCAAGAGGCATAAACTAAACATAATTATTGTTCGTAAAGTAGAAAAACAAGGAAACACTCCCTTCTTTACAACTATACTTTGAAATATTACTGCAGGAATATGACCCACAAAGATAGTTCTTAAAGGGTCAGGCAGGTCAGGGATTTAGTGGTCCTGACCTGATGTAGCTACACAAAACGTGTGTGAGAAGAAATACTGAACACATTAGATGAATATGTTTCTCAAACTTCATAAGTTCACAAACGTGCACCATCTCCTCAGCATACAAACCGATGTTTACTAAAGGAAATTACATATTGGTAGTGGAAAAAATAGGCTCCGTGACATCGACACTATATACATATAAAATATCACCAAAGTTATCCTGCAACTGTAAGTTTCAGCTGCTTTATAATCTCAGCAACAAAACCAACATTACTGACATTTGAATATAGAAACAAGAATCAAATAGAAGAAGAAAAAAAAGAACTGAGACAAATGTTCATTGCACATATCGTTCAACTTTATTGAAAATATATATCATATCAGGGCAACACTTTCGGGATTCTGCAATCATTCGTTAATAAACAAGTTCAATAACTATGAAAAAGATAGTATGAATTTGTATGTGTACATAATGACCCACGGAAAAGAGGAAAGTAATTCAGCAGCGATAAACTCTTGTTAAACGAGTTTCCAGTCAAATACTAAAAGGTAAATTACAGACGAACAGAAGGACCCCTTGGGGTCTCATCCAATCTCCGACCTAAAATTGGTCTCAAATACAGTAATTCATATCTAATGAAACTAATTTAGGAAAATATTACTCGGCTGCTCCATTTTACACTTCAGACAGCTGCTAAATTGATCCAACCTTTTTCAACTTACCTCTAAGAAGCGGTTTACGACTTACCTCTCCACGTCCACAAAGACTGCGTGCTACAACTGATAATCAGACTCTAATGACGTGCTTCTAACCGACTGTTCATGTGGCCGAGGCCGGACGTGGTCGGAGAAATCGCTGTGTGATTTGTTGGACTGACGTCCAATGGTCCACTCTGGCATCTGTGAAGACATGAGCAAATAAATAGCGAGTGATTAGTGAAAAGAAGACTCCTTACATTGTGTAATTAGTCCAGTAATTGTATCTCTAAGTCTGGGTGTTCTTTAACAACATTACATTAAAGTTAATGCCGGGAGTAGACAGATTGTGGCTGTACGTCTAAGAGGCGGAATAACTATCTGTGCTTATTAAATCACATGCACATGAGCTCTCTGCATACAGCCTGCTGGGATGATGCTGTTTATGTCATCACGACTCCAGACACACCAAACTGTTAATGTTTACTACCAGGGAGAGGGGGGGGCTTTGCGTTTGTGCATGTGCGTTATTTTGTGCGTCTATCAGCCGTCTGTATCAATGGTGTGCATGACCCCTGAGCTAGCAGACAGTCATGGGTCAAAGGTCTAGGTAGAGCCTGTCTGGGTTTCCTTGCTGACCCCAACGCCTGCAGCGCAAACGCACACATAAACACGGGGGGATGGGCTGCCCCCCGACCAGACTAATATCACCTTTGGGATTAGGATCCAGACAGAAACACATTGACCCCAAACACACACACACACACACACACGCACACACATTGAGTGTCTCAGACAGACCCTAGATCTGCTGGGTCATAAAACAGGACACGCTGCACTGCATGACGCAGAGATGCTGAGTCCGAGGAAGGCCATCTAATTATCTCTCAGCGCTGAGTTAAACCGGAGAGCAGAGGAGACCGGAGAGATTCAAGCGTCACCACGGTGAGCAGAGGCAGCAGCTAACACGGTGCTAGCTAGCTACAGCGTTACAGTGATGCTGCGAGGATGGAGGAGCCCCGGGAAATACAAACAGAATCAGAATTGCATCTATAACAGCTGGAGAAATCGAAGATGTGACGGTTATGAATATGCACGTGTAATTTTATGGGTAAAAGAGCAGCTAAAAGAGCAGCTACAAAAAGAGAGCATTGTTTGCTGCTAAATCTCCCGGTCGTATGTCAAGTAGTTTAGCTCTGTAATTGCATTTAATCCAAACACTGATGTAGCTGCAGGAAGTGAGGGCCCAGAGCACCAATCTGGATAAAACAACATCAGCATTCAAGAACAAAAAACAAAGAAAAAAGAATCACAAATCAAAGAGGAGCAGGACAGCGGGATCTGAGCACAGAGTGAAGCAGAAAAAAAGGTCAAATTCAGAGGAGCTGACGGGCTTCACTGCCAGGCCACCGGGAAAACTCCCCAAATAAGCCCCAGTGTTAAGCTGGCTAATCCCCTGTATTATTGCAACATCTGTGAGGTCTAGAGAGGCTCTGCCAGTGATTAGCAAGACAGATGTAAACAATATCCTGGCTGAAAAGGAGAGGAGAGGAGAGTGCTTGGTTGATCTGAGCAACACAGTGCTGGAAGGGTAAGAAAAGTAGAGATAGATGGAGAGAATGTGGTGAATATAAAGCAGGTAAGGTGGGGAGGGAGTGCGTCAAGGGATTTAGGGGAAGAAGAAAAAAGAAGAAGAGGAAGTGGAGGATTGATGAAAAAACAAGCAGGAGAGTGATAGGGATTCTGGAAGAAATTAAAAACACAAGAAAGGAAATGAGATGTAAAGAAAGGAGCGCTGTTGGCTTGAGGACGTCTGGTCAGAATAAGTCAAGGATTGATAGGATACAGTAGATGGGGGAGGTGGAGGGAGACAGAAGGTGACAGCATGAGGGGGAGAAAGAGCAGCAGATTGGGAGACGGCGGACCCGAGGCCAGGGGTGCCCCGACCGGCTGACGAGACACCAGGGAGACGTGCCTAATTTATGCAGAGTTGGGCTGAAGAGTGGAGGATGTCTGGGACCCCCTCAATAGCCCTGAGAACCAAGGGGAGCAGCTATGGGTGCTAGCCGTGTGAGCGCAAGAGGGGCATGGGGGAAGGTAGGGGGGGGGGAAGTCTTTTTTTTTTTTTTCAGGAGAGACAACAAGGGGGGTGGAGGCTGCTCTCCCTGCTCAATTCAAGCAGGGCTGTCCGTCTGACGTCCCATTAAGGTTTGGGACAGGGCATGGGGAACGAGGCGATAAAGGGGAGAGGGAAGGGAGAGGGAGGATGGGCGGGAGGAGACGTAAGGGACAGGCCATGCTTAGCTCCCTCCCTGCTAGATATGCCCCCCCCCCTCCCTCCTCCCCTCCTCCCCTCGACTTCCCACCCCACTCCAGTCTTCTTCTCCAGTCTGGCTACCTATTAAATCCACAGAGCCGTCCGTCTGCTTCTCTGCATACTAATTCCCCATTACGACAGCCTTGAACGTGAGCAAAGAACAGAGTCGGACTAAATCAGAGACAAGTAGGCCGGCTGATGGGTCGGCGGTATGAGAGGCTGGAAGAGTACTTCAGCATCCAGGCAGGAAGATTCATTGGGACAGAGCAGTGTGTTGTGGTGTTAGCCCAATATTGGCCTTTGGTGAAATTGGCATAATATCTTTCTATTGATATTTTTTATTTAGCATTTTCTATATTTATATAAATTCAATACATTGAATGAACTTAGTTTATTGTTGTTATTATTTAGTGAATAAAAGCATTAAAGATTGCAGTTGAAAGTGGAAACCTTGCCTTATGAAACTACTAGAAGTAAACATTTGGTGTCACATAATAAGATGCACAAGTCGCTCCAAACCTGGGGGTTGGGACCCCCTAAAGGGTCCCCATAAAAATCTGAAGTGAAGGGCTGAGAAAGAATTATATGTCTTTGTTCTACAAAATTATATATATTTTTTCATACTTTTCTCTATTTTTTTGGAGCTTTTTTTTCTAATAAAATAAAAAATAACAGTTCATAGTCTCGACAAAAGGGGTCAGAAGTAGACATTGCTTTATTGTAAGGGTCTGTATTGTATGCTGGAACACTGTGATTCTATTGGTATGAAAAAAAACATACTGGCAGAAAGTATTAGCTATCTGCAGCTTTAATATCAAAATATCAGTTTTAATATCAGTCTTACAAATCATGTATCAGTTGTGTGTGGAGTGTGAGGAGACATCGTGTATGCTTTGTGTAGGTGAATCCTGGCTGATGGCCAAGTGAATCAGTTGGTGTGTGTGTGTGTGTGCGTGTGTGTGTGTGTGTGTGTGTGTGTGTGTGTGTGTTGTTCCAGAAGCAAAATGGACAGCCAGGCAGGGTGATGGTTGAGGCTGGTGATGCAGGCAGACAGTTTAATGACAGTCCTCACCCCTGAACATACAAGCCAATGAGCGGCTGGCACGCCCGCAGATGTACACACACCGTATGACACCTGCACATATATGTGTGATGTATGGTGTGGCGTGCTCTGAAAAAAGACACACGACGGTGAAAATGAAAGAGCTAAAAAAAAAAAAAAATCTCTCTCTGTGAATGACCCCGGAAAAAATAACTAGAGAGGCTAGAAATGGCTATCAGGCACTTCTGTTGACCGTCACTTTATTCTGCTGAAAATAAAAGAGTTTTGAGCACATTCACACGCTTTCAAGCAATTCTGTTAATTATAGAGTACGGACTAGACCTTCTCTATATGAAAAGCGTCATGAGATAACCTCTGATATGATTTATGATATAAATAAATTGAATTGACATCTTTTAAACAATATTTATTCAGACGAAACGGCACAAAACACTACAGAAACGAAACTTTTGTATAAATTCTCAGAATTTGCTTGCTACCAGTGAAGTTCTCGGCAAATTCACTGGCTCAACAGAAGCTAAGCCCTGTGATTTTTTCTTTTTTTTTTTGTAAGTTGTGCCTGGCCACGGCCTTGCATCTTATTCAGTGGGACCCGCTCAGGTCTGGACTTGAATGTGGTGCCCAAAGAAAGACATAGAGCCACCTAATTAAAAAAACATGTCATTGGATCAGGCCTGGGCTGAATTGTGTGATTTTCCCTCCTACCATAAGTGGCCGTGACTGAGCATTGGGCTGAATGAGAGGCCGGATAGAGGCCTACCAATGGAGCGCCACGCCACATCCCTATGGGAACCACCCCCTCACAGAGGGGGGCACATTTAAAGCTTTGTTGGTCTGTTAACACAGCTTTTTAAAACGCCTCTTTATGGACTCAGCTAAGCAAACTGCAGCCCCTGGTTTTCTTGCGCCAGACGGAGAAAGTAAAAAAAAAAAAAAAAAAAGAAAGAAAGGAGAAGGGCAACAGAATAAGAGGGGAAAGTATGCTGAAGAGGTTGTTAAAAAACTTTAACTAACATGTTCAAGTTTGGGATATGTTCTTCATTTGGTTTTATGTAACCCTAAAATCAGATTTTAATATTTCAAATCCACCAAAATAAAGACAAAATGAGTTCTATGCAGAGGACTCTGTGCACCTGCTCTCACTGCATCTAACCACCTGAGAACTGAACTTTGCAGTATAGTCGGATGCAGCAGAACCAGGTCATTGACAAACTGCGCCGTCTCACGGTGTCCTCTGATACAGTCAGCACACGCGTTTACCCAGAGGACTACAGACATCCTGCTGCTGAAACAATAGGTGTGTGTGTGTGTGTGTGTGTGTGTGTGTGTGTGTGTGTGTGTGTG